ACTCTGAACTCTTAGTTACTCTTGAAATCGCATATTTAATTAGTTTCCCTTGACAATGGCGCCAAGATGTCGCCGAAACGTCGGATTTATCTATCGTTACTTTTTGCCTGTATATAATTATTAATTTAAAAAAATAATAATTAACGCAGAAACGTCTTTGAAAAGTAGGCGGGATCGGGATTTCCAGACAAAAAAGGGCGGGATGGCGGGATGGCGGGATTAACAGTGAAAAATGGGCGGGAAAGTGGGATTTGAGAACCCTATTGTGGACCCTCAATATACAAGACGCTTAGTATGATTCCATCCGAGCTAAGTTAACATCAGCCCTGGGTTAAGCCCCGAACAAACGATCGCAACATTTCAACGCAACGTATTCCAACATTGTTGGGCGCAACATATTGCGCCCGTATGTCCTCCCTGTTGCGACGTGTTGCGGCATGCTGTGTGTTATTGGCTCAAGTTTGAAAATGGCCAGATGTGAGCCAACACCCGACTGTCAGAACACGTCGCAACAGGGTGGCCAAACGCTTGCAACATGTCGTATGTTGCTCCCAACAATGTTGCCATATGTTGCGTTGAAATGTTGTGATCGTTTGGTCGGGGCTTTATGCAAGGTCATGCAAGGGGTATAGGGGAGAGAGGAGAGGTTAGGGCTTGATTTATAGAGATATGTATAGTAAGAAAGCTAGTCTGGTAGTTAGCGCCAAAGCTCCCCGACCCTTCCCTCTTCACCCAGTGTTTAATACCTTGGCAAACAATTAGACTCCATAAATTCTTAGGTTTTGTTAATACGCCTAACATGTACAAAAAGTTTAGATTTGATACTGCCAATGGTGTTATGGGGAATCGTAACGTTGGTTAAGTTAATGTTATCCGGTTGATCTTTTATTTAAAATGTGATTGAAATCCCCTGTAGCATGGAGAAAAATCAGGGACAATTGCGTGAACTAAATTAACAATAAATAACTAACAAAGCTAGCATAGTTCGTACAGTGTGATCGTCCGGGTGAGGGTAGTTTTAAAATACAAAAATAATAAAAGCTAAAAACGTGATACTAAAACTAAGGTTTAAAACTAGAACTAGGATTAAAAATCTACTGCTAACTAAGGTTAAAAATGGTTAAGTAAAAACTGTTTCAGTTTGTTGTTTTACTCTATCAGTAATACATATTTTATTTCCTTCAACTCTCCCGCGCTATTCAATAGCGTTAAGTTATGTACAACTTCAATAAATTACTCAAAATTCATTGAGGGTGCTGAGTGTTAGGTTCAAACACGCTTTGAGTCCGGCGTTTTGTTCAGTGAGTTCGGAACCCCTAACCTTACATTCACTTCCACTTACCACTCCTCGCCGGACGCGGCATGTGGTTCACCAACTAACTGAACACCCGGAACAGGTTAATCACTAAATAAATTAATACTTAACTAACTAAACAATGTTAAGCTCTCTCATTGGTTCATTCCTTAAAACACGTTCGTAACCAAGTGCTGTGAGGTCAATTGTTTGAAAACCGCCGTCCAAGATTAATTCACTGACGGCTCGCCCGGCAGAGGGAGACTGCTGAATACCATGACCGCTGAAGCCGTTCACAAAAATAAGATTCCTTATTTGGGGATGTCGTCCAATAATGGCATTTTGATCCAGTGTGTTGTACTCATAATGGCCGGCCCAGGCGCTCTGGACCTAACACAACAAAGAGAAATTAAAATACAATGTACACTAAACGCACACCGAATTGTATATCGAAACAACCGCGCATGAATAAACGTACATGTCACTCACTCACTCACTCATCCCCATAGCGCCGGCTGGCGCAAAGGCCCCCNAAAAAAATAAAACGTTTGTGGGCTCATTATAAGATTATCTTGTTGGTTATGTGTTTGCCTAGGCTTTGCGTTGTAAGAGGCGCGCTGAACTCTGGATCGGCTGCACGTGTTCGAATCCTGATCAGGATCATTGCGTCCTGTTCTTAGCGAGCAAAATACTTTACTTTAACTCAGAGTGGCTCTCTCCAAATGACTCTGGTGTATAAATGGGTACCAACGAATTTAATACTGGGGTTAGACCTGAATTCCGCCGCTCTCTCAGGTCCGGTACACGCGTTCCTCCCCGAGAAGGAGTTCGGGGGAGGACCGTGGGCCTTACCAGTTGCTACAGATCTCACCTTGACGCATTCAAACGCAGGGATTCTATGAGCCAGATTTGGCCATATTTTCTCTGTAAAGAAATCATAGTCGACCTCAAAGTCTGAAGATTCATGATCATCCTCCTAAATGGGAGAAAAAAACCGACACCATTGTAAAAAAAATAAGGCTAATCGGTGTGTTTTAGAATTACCTCTTCGTAGTGGTCTCTATCTCTTGTCAATAAATTTGAAAAACAGCGCGTTGGTGGATGCTGATAATCTGGCACTGAGTCAGTGGAGTGTAACATTATTATTAAAGTACAGTCCATCATCTCTCTTTGATTATCATTAGTGCACAGACTAGTCTGTTCGTGTCTGCCCTTTCATTCGTGAATTGAACGAAACACTTAACCTGATATACCACGATTGTTCGTGGATTTATTCGAATTAGAACAACTATTGATCGAAGAAAATCAGTAACAGTTTATTCAGAACACTTGCTTTGCCTTGTAGACAAGGTGTTTATTCGTGACTCAGTGTCAAAAATGCCGTAGGAAAAGAGTAATTTCTGTCATGTCTGTCCACCCTTCAACGCTCGTCATGTTTTGAACTTCAGAAACAAAGTAAGGCTACATAAGAAGGAGAATGTTTGCATTAATCATACTTACTTTCTCTGGAGACAATCCAGAAATGTAACATCCTCCTTCAGGGCGAACATATGTACCGGTACAATCAACAACAAGCGGCATTTCATCTCTCCCGGGTGCTTCTGGGCAATCTAGCACAAACACGCACCGCTTTCTTGGTTCGACTGGTAAATGTATCCCAAGCTTCTTTGCGAGATGCCCTGCTTTCGGACCCGCAGCATTAACCACGACTCCACAGTGGATGGTTTGCACATTATTCGGAGAGGAACTGGTTATCACCTACCCAAAGATACGACAGGTTCAGAGAAAATACAAATGAAACAGAGACTAGTAACCAATAACGGGTTTCTATCGTTATTATATAACAGAGAAACATACTTCATTGGGATTGGCCGAAAACAGGCTAAGTTATCTTTAGTTTCTAATTTGCGGTGAAATTTAACGCGTGCGCACTTGTAATTTTCTCAGTCGGTTACATAATAAATGATTATCTGAATGAAAGTTCGAGCAACTAACGATTTTCCTCACGCTTACATGTAACATTTGAAAATGTTCCCAAAATAACTGCACGAGCCTTTAGGTGAGAGCAATTTGAAAGAATTTTCAAATATCACTTGCGGTGTAAATCCTTAATTACTCAAAGTATCATTCAATTATCTATACTACTGACCCACTACTCCCCATATTTTTTGCAATGCGCTAGCTGATAGTTTATCTCGAATTTCCCAGAAATGGTTTTGATTATCCCGATTCCCAGTAATTAGTTCAAATTCCCGGCTAGTATCGCCCTCTCGTCTTTCTAAACGGTTTTTTTTACGTTTGCAGTGCGATGAAATACTCTACAAATTTGGTTTCAGCCATCTTCCCCACCATTTCCAAAACAGGAAAGAAGTACTATATAAAAATAAACTGTTTGCTGTAATTTAAGTTGGTATTCTTCTGATAGTCCAAACCTTAATGCTGTTTATTTGGCCATTGTAATCTGTATCAAAGTCTACAGCCTCGCCAGTTATGTATTCCACGTCCAGAGAAACAGCCTTCCTCTTGAAGGCATTCAGTAAAGACCATGGATCAAACCAACCTTCACTTCCTGTACCTGAAATATTGGGAAGCAAATACCATTGTAGGCCTGCAATGCGTGCAGAGTACTGCGCAAGTATATCTCGATTTTTGTGCAGAATGGACCTTAAAGGGACACTGTCAACTTTGGGACTGTGCTGACCTGGACACTAGTTTCTTCATTTTGAAAAAAGTTCACCTCAACCTGAAATCAAAGTACATCTAGAAATCCGCTTCAACCTTCACAGTGTTTTGCTTGATTTTCAATTGTTTACTGAAAAACCTGTTTTTGAGTGTGCATGCTTTTGCACGTCCTATGATATTTTTATCATATTTGGTTAGAAACAGTATGGATCGTGTCTCTGTGATGTGCAAATTGGTTATGGAATGGTATCTAATGTGCACGTGCGCCAGCTGACTGTGTCCCTTTAATGACATTAGCAAATAAATGTTCCGATCTATTGGGTGTGGCCCAGTCAAGGTACATGTAAACCCTTAATTACTCATCAATAGGGAGTAAATTTGTGGGACAGTGGACATGTACTAGAAATGTTCCATAGGAACTCAGTTAAGCCAGAAACTTTTGCACAAAGCTTTTCGTCTCACAATTCAAAACCTACAGTACTATACTGCAGTATGTACTACGTACTCTTTTTAAATAAACTAAAAAACCTGATGTCTCTCAGTTAACTGCTTGTAATTAATGTTAATTTCTGCTAATACACTGTGGTACATTACTCCCTATAATAATTTGTAATGCTAACCCAATGAAGCAAGTGCGATGCCGTCTGTGTTAATCCAAGGAAATCGCTCACTGAGTTCACTTGGTGAAAGAAGAATGACATGGCAGTCTAGCTTCCTGAAATATAGATTATTCACATCATGAGGACAACTTCATTTAACATCTCAAAGCTGAGCCCTGCCCTAAATCAAAAAAAAAGAGCCATAGATTACAACATACTGACTTGGCCTGAGAATGCTGGAAGTCCTATTTCCTGAAGGACCCCTTCTCAAAGACCTGTATCTGCCCCAGTGGCCAAGAGGTCTAGTACCAAGTTATCAAGATTTAACCAGACACTTCATTCCATGTATAAAAACCTAACATGCTTCTAAAAGAACAAGAATCATGTCACACCCTTAAGCTCCTGGAATAAATTAAATTATGTTCTCCTCTCCATCTACTTAACCCCTGCCTGTTGTATTACTGAGAGGAGAATTTTTTTCTCTTTTTTCTAAAAATTATGAAACCTCTCAGGTTGAATGAATCCCGTTACTTCCTAATAGGCCATTTTTGATAATGCAGATGCTGGGATTTAGGGGACTTATCAATGACAAAAGAAATTGGTTATTTGTGAATGAATTTTAATGTGATTTCTTTTTACAATTGTTTATTAGTCCCCTAAAGGTCACGCCATATTTCAAAATAATTATTATTGGTCTGTTAAATTGGCATGACAATCATTTCCCCGGCACTAAGGCATTCAGACCCATTTGGAAGGTGAAATAAATATTTTTGTCCATTCCTGACTATCCTCTGTTATAAACTATTCCGACTTTCAATAAATCAGGAATCAAACTCTTTTTGGATTTAAAATTCATAAGGACTAAATTTCAAGGAAATTCCACGACACGATTCCAATTTTTCAAGGACTCTATCCAGTTAAAAGAATACCATTTGAATGTAGTACGTGACACTTAAGGTTTAAGTGAAACCTGACAGATTTGTTCACATCTACATTTCTCCAGTCCAGTCCACTTTGAACAATGGTACTTAATGGCTAACAAATCATTTCCCTTATTGTATGAGGTGGGTGTGGACAATTGTTGTTTTTTTTTGCCTAATTAGTAACATAACAAATTATTGTATTAGCCAAACAGTCAAACAAGATATTGTAAGGTATTTAAGGGCCCTATCATTCAGCCAGACTTTAAGGTCTTTAAAATTTTGATTTCAAATTCAAGGACTTTCAATGTGCGTGCAAAATCCTGTATAATGTGCCAGGGTGTTTCATATTTTTGTGTGTCAATTTGGGTGTGTTCCGGCATGTTCTGAATGTATTCCAAGGGTGCTCAGAGGTATCGCTGATTTTCAGCTGCTTTTGAATTATTTTGGCTATGCATGCATGACCATGCAATTACTTACAAAGTACTTACTGCAAAATTATACATAATTCTGTATTTCCACAAGTTTACCTTTGAAGTGCATGATTTTTCTTTAGTATTTCTTCCCCGTTCTTGCTTGCCAGAAACAGATAACCTTGTCTCCTGAGTTGGATGTCAGGGGGGTCACACCCCTCAACTGCCAAATGTTGGTCTATTTCTGAGAGAAATCGAAAGCTCTGTTGCGACATTTGAACATTTTCAGCCAAGGAGAACTGCTGTCTAATTGATGCAAGTGACAATGTTGTTGATGCATTTGAGTACTTTATGAAATAAAAAAAGAAACACAGAGATTATCAAATATATCCCTCAACGTTACTACATGTACATCTCAAGTGGTAAATTATGTTAATTTTACTCTGGTTACTAATTTATAACTTTATTTTATCACATTGGTTACTCTAGTGTATAGATAATCTAAACAACCGTTGGTATCTTCTCACTTATTCAATTCAGGGGGTTGAAAAAACTTCCACCTCAGATCACCAAGTCCTCATGCCCTACGGACCAATTTCTCACACTAACATTGTACAGTTGTAGCTGAAAAATTTGGGCCATTGCTGCCTAACTGAAACATGGTCATTGAACATGTATGCTCGAATAAATGCAAGAAAGAAATTGCATGTAAATGACGCTATGCAGGGGGGAGGGGGAGTCCCATATAGAAAGGACGGGGGTGCTTGTTGCACCCTTTAGGGGTTAAAAAAAGCAGTTTTGGCACCTCCTAGGGTACTCAATTCAGCCTCAAAAAGTCCACAATGGGAGCTTTTATACTACCTTTTAGGGTATTGAGCCAAGAAAATATGAAAAGAGATATTTGACAATCAACTGATTTTTAATTTTGGTCTCATTTACACCAGAAATTCACAACTCATCAGTAAAAGTGTGTAGTCAGTTAATGTGTTGGTTTAGAATTGCTACCTCTTAGGGTTGAAAAATTTCAAGCTACGCCCATAGGATCCTGGTACTTTCTAGGGATTTTTCTCAAAAGTTCTGACGAGTACCCTCGTCCTTTTTAAATGGAATTCCCCCTCCCCCACCCCCACCCGGGTTACGTCAACTAGAGGTTGTTATGTAATACTTCCTAGACTTGATCGGAGTAGTGTTCGAAATGTGTTTGGGTACGCCTTCGGAACGGCATACCTTCTGAAATGTTTAGCTATGTTTGGGTACATATGCGTGTATCTTAAGCTATCTATCAGATCATTAGGTTTTCTAATATATTTCGAGAGTGCTCAGGACACTCGAAAAAAGTTGCAGGTATGTAGAAAGACTAGAGGAAGCAGTACACTTAGCAAACCTCACTTACCGTAGGATCACGCTCAATCACGCAGATTTTACCCATTTCATGTGTCAATCTGCTCGCTAGAAAGTAAGCCGAAGATGAGCCCATGGCACCCCCGCCAACGATCGCAACATCGTAAATGTTTTTCTCTTTGGGACTGCCAGCTTTCGAAGCTTTCGTGCCATAGGACAGCGACAGGCAGCGAACACAGTTCAAATAATTCATTCTCAATCGGTTGTTTGAACGAGAGATTAAACAAGTCAAGGTTTTCCGTAAGAAAACGCCGCGGGTAGCCATTTTGTTATTAGATATTCAAGATTTTTTGAGATTGTGTGAACTGTTGTCGTGTCACGCCGGGCCATTGGCTGATTTGTCACAGAATCGTCGAAGGGAAATTCCTGTCCCTCCCGTCCCTGACAGTATCAGTTGGTCATAAAGATGGCGTCTGTTTCTGACTTTGTGCCGGTGAGAAGAGAGCTGATAAAGAACACTCCTCCAAAACCGTTCCTTATCGGAGTTGCTGGTGGATCAGCTTCTGGAAAGGTAACAGTCACTTAACAGGTCATTTTGCAAAGGTGTTTTAGGGAAAAGAGTGCTGCAAACTTTCATTTCCTTGTTTCTGCAAGCTAATAACTTGACCGGCTTTGACCCGCAACAATATTTAATCTGCTCCTGGAGTAAACGTGTAAAAATGTAAACCTTCACACTTGAATGTACTAAGTGGATAGCATTCTACTTTGAGAGAACGTCAAACAAGTATTTTGCGGCAGGATATCCGCTCTCTTTGGTGTGGGGCTCGTGAAATTCGTGGGCTTGATGCCTGAAACAGCTGAGGTAGATTCTTTGATCTCAGCTAAGTTATCACGTTGATGGATCACTCATAGTCGAACTGTTTTGATCTGAGTTGTTTGGAAAACTTTACACCATTTTTATCGGGTGAAATCGGTCTGTAAGCTTATATAGCATTAGCATGGTAACAGAGAAATATAAGTTTGGAGTGAAAACACTTCGCAATTCGATATTCCTAGCCGCTTCCTTTCAGGGGTTATCTTTTTCTGCATTTCCCATTTTTCAATTTTCCATCAGCTTTTTTATTACTCAGTGAAAATACGGAATTTATTTCCCTTTTAACTTGGAAAGTAATATTTTCCAAGTTGTCAGTATGGATGGAACATTTTCTTCGTCACTCCTTCACTCCTCTTCCTGTTAGACAGTTTCGAACATCCGCTGACCAGTTAACAGGGCTTTCACAGTCGTTTGCACACTGAATTTATGTCAAATTATTTGAAAGGTAGAAGGTGAAACAATGTTTCAACTGTAAGGAAAAGACTTCATGCTTCTTCCTTTGTGATTCAATTGAAAGGGAAAAGGTCTTCATGTGTTTTCACAATTGTTTATAGTCAACAGTTTGTTCTAAAATAATGGAACAGCTGGGTCAGGATGGAGTAGAATCAAGAAGAGTCGTGATTGTCAGTCAGGACAGCTTTTACAGAGAACTTTCGGAAGACGAAGCTAAGGATGCAAAAGTGGGAAATTTTGACTTTGATCACCCAGGTGAAACTTCTGATTTGTTTTTCTTTGCAATAATTTTCTTCATCTGTCAGTGTTGTTAAAATATTATTGTTTATTTCCTTGTTTCCTTTTTTAGCTTGACATAAAAATCTAGTGCTGTCTTTTTGACTTACTGAAGGCAGCTCAGTACCCTTCTCCATGAGTCTGTATATATCCCAGGCCATTATGCTAGTATTTTATTTTCAAAAATATAAATCAGGGAGAACAGAAATTTGGCTCAAAACATCTGGAGGTTTTAAAAATTGAGAGTAAATTTCTTCTAACTTTTTTTCCAAAATCATCAGAGCTAAAGCTTGCTTCAAATAATGGCCAGGGAGACTGGAATAATCGATGAACAAAACATGTCCTTTCCACTGCATGATTGTGTTAATATAAGAACGATAGCACCACGTGGCAAGGAATGCAAAAAGGTGCTAACTTTTGTGCAACTTTGCTATTGTTGTATCATAATTCTGATTGGCCCAATCAACAAACTCTACCAAAACTTCAGGCAGCTGTATATATATTTATGCGTAATTGATCAACTATCTTCCTTTCAACAAAACCTCTTCTGAGTCTAAATACCACCGTAATCCTATGTGAGGAACATTGGGAAATCGGAAGCTTTTATTGTCTTTGTTCACGACTGTTGTGATTGGTTGAATGTTTTAACACAAAGGAAACTACCTTTCAAAATAGAGTTAAAATATATTTTATATCATAAACCTGCTTTCCATCGGTTGATACATTCTCCATATGAAAACACAACAGTTTCAATGTGGGGAAAGCCTATTGCCACAGAATAATAGAAAATGCTACAGTTCTTATCGGGATCATTACTTAATTGGTGTAATTTTAAGTGACTTACATGTGAAATCCTTTTTTAAAGATGCTTTTGATTATGAGATGACGCTTGATACTCTGCGGAAAGCTAAAGCTGGTGAAACTGTTAAAATACCAATATATGATGCTGTTAATGCTACAAGGTAACTTGCCTGTGATAAAAGAGGAAACATAAAATAATTGCTTTAATTTACAATGTACCTGGTTGCTTTAATACAGTGGCGGATTGCAGAAGGAAGAAAAGCCANACCTGATGTCTCTCAGTTAACTGCTTGTAATTAATGTTAATTTCTGCTAATACACTGTGGTACATTACTCCCTATAATAATTTGTAATGCTAACCCAATGAAGCAAGTGCGATGCCGTCTGTGTTAATCCAAGGAAATCGCTCACTGAGTTCACTTGGTGAAAGAAGAATGACATGGCAGTCTAGCTTCCTGAAATATAGATTATTCACATCATGAGGACAACTTCATTTAACATCTCAAAGCTGAGCCCTGCCCTAAATCAAAAAAAAAGAGCCATAGATTACAACATACTGACTTGGCCTGAGAATGCTGGAAGTCCTATTTCCTGAAGGACCCCTTCTCAAAGACCTGTATCTGCCCCAGTGGCCAAGAGGTCTAGTACCAAGTTATCAAGATTTAACCAGACACTTCATTCCATGTATAAAAACCTAACATGCTTCTAAAAGAACAAGAATCATGTCACACCCTTAAGCTCCTGGAATAAATTAAATTATGTTCTCCTCTCCATCTACTTAACCCCTGCCTGTTGTATTACTGAGAGGAGAATTTTTTTCTCTTTTTTCTAAAAATTATGAAACCTCTCAGGTTGAATGAATCCCGTTACTTCCTAATAGGCCATTTTTGATAATGCAGATGCTGGGATTTAGGGGACTTATCAATGACAAAAGAAATTGGTTATTTGTGAATGAATTTTAATGTGATTTCTTTTTACAATTGTTTATTAGTCCCCTAAAGGTCACGCCATATTTCAAAATAATTATTATTGGTCTGTTAAATTGGCATGACAATCATTTCCCCGGCACTAAGGCATTCAGACCCATTTGGAAGGTGAAATAAATATTTTTGTCCATTCCTGACTATCCTCTGTTATAAACTATTCCGACTTTCAATAAATCAGGAATCAAACTCTTTTTGGATTTAAAATTCATAAGGACTAAATTTCAAGGAAATTCCACGACACGATTCCAATTTTTCAAGGACTCTATCCAGTTAAAAGAATACCATTTGAATGTAGTACGTGACACTTAAGGTTTAAGTGAAACCTGACAGATTTGTTCACATCTACATTTCTCCAGTCCAGTCCACTTTGAACAATGGTACTTAATGGCTAACAAATCATTTCCCTTATTGTATGAGGTGGGTGTGGACAATTGTTGTTTTTTTTTGCCTAATTAGTAACATAACAAATTATTGTATTAGCCAAACAGTCAAACAAGATATTGTAAGGTATTTAAGGGCCCTATCATTCAGCCAGACTTTAAGGTCTTTAAAATTTTGATTTCAAATTCAAGGACTTTCAATGTGCGTGCAAAATCCTGTATAATGTGCCAGGGTGTTTCATATTTTTGTGTGTCAATTTGGGTGTGTTCCGGCATGTTCTGAATGTATTCCAAGGGTGCTCAGAGGTATCGCTGATTTTCAGCTGCTTTTGAATTATTTTGGCTATGCATGCATGACCATGCAATTACTTACAAAGTACTTACTGCAAAATTATACATAATTCTGTATTTCCACAAGTTTACCTTTGAAGTGCATGATTTTTCTTTAGTATTTCTTCCCCGTTCTTGCTTGCCAGAAACAGATAACCTTGTCTCCTGAGTTGGATGTCAGGGGGGTCACACCCCTCAACTGCCAAATGTTGGTCTATTTCTGAGAGAAATCGAAAGCTCTGTTGCGACATTTGAACATTTTCAGCCAAGGAGAACTGCTGTCTAATTGATGCAAGTGACAATGTTGTTGATGCATTTGAGTACTTTATGAAATAAAAAAAGAAACACAGAGATTATCAAATATATCCCTCAACGTTACTACATGTACATCTCAAGTGGTAAATTATGTTAATTTTACTCTGGTTACTAATTTATAACTTTATTTTATCACATTGGTTACTCTAGTGTATAGATAATCTAAACAACCGTTGGTATCTTCTCACTTATTCAATTCAGGGGGTTGAAAAAACTTCCACCTCAGATCACCAAGTCCTCATGCCCTACGGACCAATTTCTCACACTAACATTGTACAGTTGTAGCTGAAAAATTTGGGCCATTGCTGCCTAACTGAAACATGGTCATTGAACATGTATGCTCGAATAAATGCAAGAAAGAAATTGCATGTAAATGACGCTATGCAGGGGGGAGGGGGAGTCCCATATAGAAAGGACGGGGGTGCTTGTTGCACCCTTTAGGGGTTAAAAAAAGCAGTTTTGGCACCTCCTAGGGTACTCAATTCAGCCTCAAAAAGTCCACAATGGGAGCTTTTATACTACCTTTTAGGGTATTGAGCCAAGAAAATATGAAAAGAGATATTTGACAATCAACTGATTTTTAATTTTGGTCTCATTTACACCAGAAATTCACAACTCATCAGTAAAAGTGTGTAGTCAGTTAATGTGTTGGTTTAGAATTGCTACCTCTTAGGGTTGAAAAATTTCAAGCTACGCCCATAGGATCCTGGTACTTTCTAGGGATTTTTCTCAAAAGTTCTGACGAGTACCCTCGTCCTTTTTAAATGGAATTCCCCCTCCCCCACCCCCACCCGGGTTACGTCAACTAGAGGTTGTTATGTAATACTTCCTAGACTTGATCGGAGTAGTGTTCGAAATGTGTTTGGGTACGCCTTCGGAACGGCATACCTTCTGAAATGTTTAGCTATGTTTGGGTACATATGCGTGTATCTTAAGCTATCTATCAGATCATTAGGTTTTCTAATATATTTCGAGAGTGCTCAGGACACTCGAAAAAAGTTGCAGGTATGTAGAAAGACTAGAGGAAGCAGTACACTTAGCAAACCTCACTTACCGTAGGATCACGCTCAATCACGCAGATTTTACCCATTTCATGTGTCAATCTGCTCGCTAGAAAGTAAGCCGAAGATGAGCCCATGGCACCCCCGCCAACGATCGCAACATCGTAAATGTTTTTCTCTTTGGGACTGCCAGCTTTCGAAGCTTTCGTGCCATAGGACAGCGACAGGCAGCGAACACAGTTCAAATAATTCATTCTCAATCGGTTGTTTGAACGAGAGATTAAACAAGTCAAGGTTTTCCGTAAGAAAACGCCGCGGGTAGCCATTTTGTTATTAGATATTCAAGATTTTTTGAGATTGTGTGAACTGTTGTCGTGTCACGCCGGGCCATTGGCTGATTTGTCACAGAATCGTCGAAGGGAAATTCCTGTCCCTCCCGTCCCTGACAGTATCAGTTGGTCATAAAGATGGCGTCTGTTTCTGACTTTGTGCCGGTGAGAAGAGAGCTGATAAAGAACACTCCTCCAAAACCGTTCCTTATCGGAGTTGCTGGTGGATCAGCTTCTGGAAAGGTAACAGTCACTTAACAGGTCATTTTGCAAAGGTGTTTTAGGGAAAAGAGTGCTGCAAACTTTCATTTCCTTGTTTCTGCAAGCTAATAACTTGACCGGCTTTGACCCGCAACAATATTTAATCTGCTCCTGGAGTAAACGTGTAAAAATGTAAACCTTCACACTTGAATGTACTAAGTGGATAGCATTCTACTTTGAGAGAACGTCAAACAAGTATTTTGCGGCAGGATATCCGCTCTCTTTGGTGTGGGGCTCGTGAAATTCGTGGGCTTGATGCCTGAAACAGCTGAGGTAGATTCTTTGATCTCAGCTAAGTTATCACGTTGATGGATCACTCATAGTCGAACTGTTTTGATCTGAGTTGTTTGGAAAACTTTACACCATTTTTATCGGGTGAAATCGGTCTGTAAGCTTATATAGCATTAGCATGGTAACAGAGAAATATAAGTTTGGAGTGAAAACACTTCGCAATTCGATATTCCTAGCCGCTTCCTTTCAGGGGTTATCTTTTTCTGCATTTCCCATTTTTCAATTTTCCATCAGCTTTTTTATTACTCAGTGAAAATACGGAATTTATTTCCCTTTTAACTTGGAAAGTAATATTTTCCAAGTTGTCAGTATGGATGGAACATTTTCTTCGTCACTCCTTCACTCCTCTTCCTGTTAGACAGTTTCGAACATCCGCTGACCAGTTAACAGGGCTTTCACAGTCGCTTGCACACTGAATTTATGTCAAATTATTTGAAAGGTAGAAGGTGAAACAATGTTTCAACTGTAAGGAAAAGACTTCATGCTTCTTCCTTTGTGATTCAATTGAAAGGGAAAAGGTCTTCATGTGTTTTCACAATTGTTTATAGTCAACAGTTTGTTCTAAAATAATGGAACAGCTGGGTCAGGATGGAGTAGAATCAAGAAGAGTCGTGATTGTCAGTCAGGACAGCTTTTACAGAGAACTTTCGGAAGACGAAGCTAAGGATGCAAAAGTGGGAAATTTTGACTTTGATCACCCAGGTGAAACTTCTGATTTGTTTTTCTTTGCAATAATTTTCTTCATCTGTCAGTGTTGTTAAAATATTATTGTTTATTTCCTTGTTTCCTTTTTTAGCTTGACATAAAAATCTAGTGCTGTCTTTTTGACTTACTGAAGGCAGCTCAGTACCCTTCTCCATGAGTCTGTATATATCCCAGGCCATTATGCTAGTATTTTATTTTCAAAAATATAAATCAGGGAGAACAGAAATTTGGCTCAAAACATCTGGAGGTTTTAAAAATTGAGAGTAAATTTCTTCTAACTTTTTTTCCAAAATCATCAGAGCTAAAGCTTGCTTCAAATAATGGCCAGGGAGACTGGAATAATCGATGAACAAAACATGTCCTTTCCACTGCATGATTGTGTTAATATAAGAACAATAGCACCACGTGGCAAGGAATGCAAAAAGGTGCTAACTTTTGTGCAACTTTGCTATTGTTGTATCATAATTCTGATTGGCCCAATCAACAAACTCTACCAAAACTTCAGGCAGCTGTATATATATTTATGCGTAATTGATCAACTATCTTCCTTTCAACAAAACCTCTTCTGAGTCTAAATACCACCGTAATCCTATGTGAGGAACATTGGGAAATCGGAAGCTTTTATTGTCTTTGTTCACGACTGTTGTGATTGGTTGAATGTTTTAACACAAAGGAAACTACCTTTCAAAATAGAGTTAAAATATATTTTATATCATAAACCTGCTTTCCATCGGTTGATACATTCTCCATATGAAAACACAACAGTTTCAATGTGGGGAAAGCCTATTGCCACAGAATAATAGAAAATGCTACAATTCTTATCGGGATCATTACTTAATTGGTGTAATTTTAAGTGACTTACATGTGAAATCCTTTTTTAAAGATGCTTTTGATTATGAGATGACGCTTGATACTCTGCGGAAAGCTAAAGCTGGTGAAACTGTTAAAATACCAATATATGATGCTGTTAATGCTACAAGGTAACTTGCCTGTGATAAAAGAGGAAACATAAAATAATTGCTTTAATTTACAATGTACCTGGTTGCTTTAATACAGTGGCGGATTGCAGAAGGAAGAAAAGCCAACAGGGCAAGCCAAAAAATAACCCCCTGCCTCCGCTTCCCACCCCCGTTTAGCTCAAGTTCTAGATCTGCCACTGCTTTAATATACTGTTGGTGCTCTAGTTTTCTAATATTTAAAGTATAAAATGATAATTTTGAATAAGATATTGATGCAGTTGAACATTTCTATCTTGAACTCAGTTATCCTGTCAAGGCAATACGCAGTGCACACCTCACTAGATCCTTTCTCACTCTGAAGTCGTCCATCCAAGTTTTGAGAAGTTTGGTTGTGTTGTATAGTGATATTTGTTTAATGTTTCTTTTGTAGACAAAACGAGTCTATCACAATATATCCTGCTGATGTAATACTCTTTGAGGGGATCTTAACAATCTATTTCAAGGAAATTCGTGACATGCTTGATATGAAGTTATTTGTTGACACAGACAGCGATACCAGATTATCAAGAAGAGGTATGTATCATGCATCACATGATTGATGATCATTTGTACTTGTTATTTGCACTCAGAAAATCTTGAGAGTGTCTTACAAAGTAAAGACCAGAATTTAACATGAGTCATAGTGGCTCATCAGACCGGAGCTTTTCAATAACATCTCCTTGTTGTGTATTGTGGTTACAAAACTTTAACTACTAACAATGTACAGCTGTAAGTGTGGAGGCACAGTGGCCTCATGGTGAGTATGCTCACTTCTGGATTGAGGAGTCCAGGTTCGGGCCCCGGTCAGGGGCATTGTGTTGTGTTCTTGGGCAAGACACTTTACTCCCACAGTGCCTCTCTCACCCAGGTGTATTATAAATAGGTACCAGCAAGCTCAAAGCTGGGGGTAACCCTGCAGTGGACTAGCACCCCATCCGTGGGGGAGTAGAAATACTCCTTGAGTCACTTCATGCTACTGAATTGAGTGAAACCAGAGAATGCACCAGCCTGATGGGGCCACTTGGCCCGTATGCAGACTTTATGTTTTTACCTACAGCTGTAAGTAGTATCAGCACTAGCTCATAGCCTGGCATTAATTAATGTCAGGCTGCCCTGATATCAAATAAAAAGAACAAATAATAAAAGAAATAATAGTTCATCCACCAATTCTGATTGTGTTGAATGTCGCTTTTGTAGTCTTTCGGGAAGTTGACATCATATTGATGATGGGTCAGTATGATTACAAGCCAATTTCAGCTATACTTATGTATGATGGCATGTAATGCCATCATACACCACTACACACATGCTTACTTGCTTACCACTTTAAATTGCAGTGTTACGAGATACTCAGGAGCGAGGAAGAGATCTTGAGCAAGTGTTGGCCACCTACGCAAATTTTGTTAAGCCAGCATTTGAGGAATTTTGTCTTCCAGTAAGTTTTTAATACTCAACTCACTTGTTAACCAGTTACGGTTTTATTAATACAGTATGTGTATGTGCAATTTTAGTACAACTGTGCTCGCGTATGTATGTTCTAATATAATAAAGCTGACTCATGGGTTTAAAATTTTCAGACAAAAAAGTATGCTGATGTGATAATACCAAGAGGGTCAGATAACACAGGTAATAGAGTAAAAAGTTCTATACTTAAAATATTCCTTAACGCAACTCTTTTCACTTTCATCACAAGAATGAAGGCCAAGGTTCAAGTACATGTACATGTATGTGCAAACAATAAATGCTGGAATTTAAGTTAGAAGTCCATTTTGATCAGCATTTCCTAAATGCATATGTGCAAGTATATACATGTATGAAATCCTCTCATACAGAGCATTGAAAATATTTTTTAAGAAGTTTTTGGCCCTGATTGTTGTCATTTCTTAATACACATTGTAACACAGACAAATTAGCAGCATTAACAATAGTATTACACTCTGCAAACAAGCATTTGAATCTTACATGCATCAAAACATCAGACCTTTTTCAGGGCTAGTACTTTGTGATGTGAAGATATGACTAATTACTGGTATATGACTTATTTTAGACAGGAACTTTGTCATAGGTAGAAATTCTCTTTTTTTCTTTTTTTTATCAAATCTTTTTAGTGGCCATTAGCCTCATTGTACAACATATAAAAGACATTTTAAATGGAAACAAAAGTGGCAAGCAAGATGGTGACCCAGGGCGTCGACAAAGACACCTTTCTGATTCAAGTATGACAATTTCATCCAGGCCACACTGATGACGTGGATTTTACCTGGAAGAGATGATCTATTCCTGATAATAATAAATTAACCATCTTTAAAATAGGCCAATTTCGATATTTTAAAATTCTAATGTGGCTCTGAGGCTAGGGGAATAAAACAAAAGGAATGACATCAAGATACAGGGATCGATAATTAATAATGCATTGGTGTTATTCCCTGAAGCCTTGGGGCCAAGTTGNTTATGATTCAATAACTAAGCTCTTTTGAATCTTTTCTTTTACCATAATTATGCAATAGAAGACATAATGCTAATGGTCAAATTTTCCAAGAATGTGTTTTTACTTCCTTTTTTCAAATCATTTTATAGCACAAACTCAGTCAAAACATGCCGTTCAGGTGCTGCTCAGTAGCGTCACTTTCAGATTATGAGGTTATAATAGATTTTGTCAGGCAGGCCTGATAAATCACAGTATCACACACAAGGTTCATTAAGATCTTTGTGTTTTAATTGTGGACCTCTAGGTCCAAAGCAACAATTATTTATAATGAATAACACAGGAGTTGATATTTGCTAATAAGTTATTCATGATAGCGTGGTTGAAAAATAGTTATTTCGATCAGAGAACGCTACAAGTTGTTTATGGTCAAAGAGGGTCAGTATCTTGCTTAAGCTTTAGTCTTTAATCAGAGTGCCAAAAGGTTTTAATGAATATTATTTGCAGCCATTACAGTGTACTTGGATTGTGATGGAAAACGTTTCCCAATGATCATTGCATGATGACCCAGATAGAGGTTGCGAAGGAAATTACAAGGGAGGGGTGGGAAAACAGAACTGTAGCTTGAAATTTTGCGTTTTATGGGAATTTCATATTTGTTTGTTGTGGGTGGTTTGGGCGGAAGTAAATGTCTTGCAATATGATATTCAAAGAGAGTTTCAATGTGGGTGTTTTAACACCTGCCAGCAACACCACTAGAGACCTAAATTCCTTGGGTACTTTGCTTGCAGGCTTGCTAGATGACTTTTCCTTTAGAGTACTTTTGCAAATGAGTTAATGCTAGTCTTTTGCAGTTTTTATACTCGCGTGTTATTGAAAACGGAATTGAAAAGAGATTGGCACCGGTCAATCGAGGAGTTAATATGTAGAGTTTTTCAGCAGCCTCTTAGTGCTGTTTGTTTAGTCTGTTGTGTTACAGTTCTACTTAGTTATAAGCGTGTGTGTTCTTTTCCAGGCCTTTGGGTTCCTAGAGATGACATTCGTTCAGTGTGATACATATAGGTTTGCATGAGTGTCGTTATAGAAGTTCCACCATGCTGTAAATGCAGTTTATGATGATTAATTTATTGGAACAAGTAGTCCTTTTCGTTTGTTTTGCGTGCGTGCAAAGAAGGAATAAACGTTATTGAGTTTTTGCAAACTTGTGGTAAACTTTACCATAGATGTGCGTAGTCACACCTGTTAGAGGCTTCAGAATCTGAATTCCTATTCAGATAATTTTCGCGGGGCAAAAGGAGAAACTTTCATCAGGAGGCTTTCTCGAGTTTTCTTCCGTAAAGTCCATACATATCGGGTGACAGGATTCGCCTTATTCCTCGTTTATCGGCAATATTTATTTAGACCAGAATGTTTTTTTACCCAGAGGCAGAAATAATTGCAAGAAAGGAAAAAACAGAAAATTTGCCTTTACTACCCCAACACCTACTTTGCCGTCTTATTAGAATTCTCATCAGGTCAGGTTCTTTGTACTGTTAGGATTTCGAAAGCTTTCACCGAAGAAAACTGAAGAAAAGGGCAAAGTCACGAAAACAGTGACAAAATAATAGGGATGGATGTAGAACAGTATTTCGTCTTTCCTTATCACCATTTTTTTCAGGTTTGAACGAGAAGTTACAAAAGAATGCGAAGGGTCGAACGTGATGTGCGCGCTCAAGGAGATACGCAAATGGTGAAAGAAGCTTAACGGAAGACATGCTTTGCCTTGGGAATATACCTGTGGACAGCCCGCGAGAAGATTCTCGTATTTGGGTTTTGTACGGCTTTCCTTTAGGCAGCGTCCAGACTAGGCCAAAGGAATTTGAAAACGCAGGTCTTTTTTTCTACGGTGAGGCCTACCGTCCACACTAATCCGTCACGAAAACGGAGCTTTTAGAAAACGCTCTTCAAACCGGAGGAATTCAAAAAAGCCAGCTTTTCGTTTTCGTGTGGACAGAAGACCTTTTGAAAACGGGGCTTTTCGAAAACGATGATGTCACGATAAACATGTGATATCCCTGACCGAGGTATCCTGAAACACAAATCCAAAATGACCGGTAATTGTTGCGGTTTTACATTCCTCTAGCGTAGTGTGAACGGGGCTTTAGGTTTCGCGAGGGCTAACATGAAGAGGGATTTGTGTACAACTAAAGCGTCGCACGCACTGAAGAAGTGATTGGTTGAGGTAACTTGTGTGGCGTGCCCACTTAAACAATCAGAACGAATCGTTTTCTTGCTTTTGGTTCGTCTTTACCCGCGCTTTGAAAACAGCACTTGGTAAGTCATGTGGGGTCGGCGCACAACTGCTTCAAGAAATGAAACTATCGGCCGTTGAATGTTCACAAAAATCTTTCGAATTTGCTGGGTATAAATTTTTTTTTTTTTCACTTACGCCTAAAACTTCACGCTAATTTTAATTGATTTCATTGTAACATCATCAAACCAGAGAAAAATATTTGCCACACAATTACGAACTTAAACGGCAAATTGAATTCTAAATTGTTTTTCGTGATTATGACATCATCTTTAAATGATTAATCATAATTTCTCACACAAACTTCAGCAGATGGTTAGTTAGCTGCGCATTTTTGTCTCCCGAAGTTATTTCATAACAAGTCCTTTGCGGCGCGTCAATTTTGGCCGACGAAGCAATTTTTTCCACAGATTGCACAAAAGCGAAGATTTCAACTCTAGCATATAAATGCCACGGGCTAAGAACTTAACGAAAGTTCAGCCCAGCACGTCAGGTCTGAAAAACAGACGTCCGTCCATTAATATTGGTAAACGTAAAAAGCGGCGAGTTTCTTCAGACGGTTACGACGTATCTGAATACGTTTCAAGCAGCGACGAAGAAAACGATACAAATGCTTGTACTAGAAAAGGTATGTTTTAGGTAAAAGTGATCAATTCTTGGTAAGCACTGAGGAAAACTTCTCTCTGTGGTATGCCATTATAAGAACGCTCTCCCATTTCAATCTTTATTCAGGATCTTGAGGAGAATCAAAGAAAAAAGTTAGAGACTTAGTTAGCTTTGAAAATAGTAGATTTCTACAATGTTTGAACGGCTTTTGGATCTCCGAAGCTTTTGGAAACTTTTTCATGTCCTAATCAGCACACCTTAACTCAAACCGTCGTAGCTTTCTCACATCTACTTAGGACCAGCCATAAAATATCGTTAGCCTTTCGCTCTGAACTGGAGAATTTTGTTAGAAAAATGGTTTCGTAACAGCCTCATTTCTTAATTTAAACAATGAAATTTTGTTCTAATTCTAAACCATTCCAAATTTGGCTTGTTTATGACGCAATTATCAGAGGGCCAATCAGCGCGCGAGCAATTAAAACGTGTCATAATTAGAGCGATGGAGCACCACGCCTTAAGATGTTTCTAAATAAGTCCATCCCCTGTCCATTAGAAAACTGGAAAAAAGCTAAAATTCAGTCCTCCATAACAAACGCTTATCTGCTCAATTTCGAAATGAAAATAAACGGCAAACCGCAAACCCCAGCAAGCAATTCTTACTCGCTTTTTAGACCTTTCTAATCAAATTCGGGAAATCTTCGCGGTGCGATTTGTAGATGACGGCTAAAATAAACGACTAACAAATTAACAAAAGATCTGAAGACCGTACGGAGTGTTAGGTAAAAAGAGGTGGTTGTGAAACCTTTTCTTTGAATGTCTGTTTGTTATTTTTGTTGTTGCGTTGTGCTGCTTAATTTAGTTTATGCACTTTTACAGGGCGAAAGCGAAAATACGAGAGTCTCACTTCGTTCAGTAAAAAGAGAAGACTTTCGAGCGAAGAGACATTTGAGAAAGAGAAGCTTAAGCTTGACTTAATAGAGGCTAGATCGAGAGCGCGAATCAAAGCACGGATCAGAGCAAGAATAAAGGCCAGAGAAGTAGAAGATCTGCGTCTGTTAGAGCTGAAAGCTCTCAGGGAAAATGGTTGGTCGGACCTGATTCCTTTTGAAGTGTTGCTGAAGATTTTCCAGCGTGTTGTAGATGACAGTGGACCGGTACCTTTCCTTTGTAGGCGAGTTTTTTATGTACGGTAAAAACGTTTTGAAACCTCAGACCCCCCGCCCGGGCAAGGGTACCCCCCCCATATATAAGCTGTATGAGCACACGTGCCGCTGTGAAGGGCATGGTTTTCAGGCAGTTTTTAATTAGTCTAGGTAGGGAATAGAAATCAAACAGTTTAGGTCTAGAATAGGGTCTAATTTACCGGGAGAGTGGCCAGTGTATAAATAACTTAGTTTAGAACAGGATTCTTTACCCAGGATTTTATAAAACAAATTCGAAACTCAGAAGTGAGAACTTCACGTAAACAGAATTAAAACTGCATAGAAAATAGCTAGTCTGGGATAGGGTACGGGATTGTGGTGCCACCACCAAGCGGCTGATCATGCATTGTCTAGTATAGGGTAAGGGCTCCAGTGTCCCAGCGGCACATCCCACGGAAAGATTTACAGAATACCCTTCCCCCCACCCCCTCCTCCCACTAGACATAAATTTACGTTCTTTCATGTGTGCCTTGTCACAGGATGTCTAGAGTTTGTCGAAGCTGGAGGCAAGTCTCATCAGAACCAATTCTTTGGCGCGAAGTGAATTTATCGGCGATGAGTATCGAGTGCCCCAGATCAGCTAATGATTCTACAATCGAGAAGTTAGCCTGCTCAAGATTGAAAGCGGTTAAAGAACTAAGCCTTGATGGATGGAGTGAGCTTACAGATACAGGACTTAAGGTAAAGAAGTAACGTCAAAGAGCCATAGTGGAGACACAGACAGACAGGCAGGCAGACACAGACAGAGAGAGAGAGTGATATAGAAAAAAAGTGAATTAACTGCTGGGAAACATTGCGTTTATTTTTCAATAGGAAGACACTTATTATCACTTCTTATTTAAGAACAGGGAGAGGCGATGGCCTCATGGTTAGTTAGCTCGACTCAGGATCGAGTGGTCTGGGTTCGAGCCCTGGCTGGGGACATTGTGTTGTGTTCTTGGTCAAGACAATTTACTCTAGTAGAGCCTCTCTCCACCCAAGTGTATAAATGGGTACCTGCGAACTTAATACGGGAGTTTAACGCTGCGCTGGACTAACATCCCATCCAGGGGGAGGGGTGGGGAAGTAGAAATACTGCTAGTCACTTTATTGTACAGAAACCAGGATAAGTTTGTATGCAGACTTAATTATAATTTCCGTTTTTAGAGAGAAATTCTTTGTCAAGATAAATGTGCGACTTTGATTAATGCGAGTGTTTATTGCTTTGAAATAATGTATAATATTGTTTTCTGGTTTGCTTACGCTGATGATTACCCACTTCATAAAAGCTTTCACTGCATTCTTTTATCTTTGTGTGCGTTTCTTTTGGAAAAACCAAGATTAGATTCTCAGATCCAAAAACGAATTTTGCATTTCTTTACTAAAAAGATCCCGAAGAATCCACTCTGGGCAAGAATTCAGTGGCCGTTGATGCACCATGATCCGAGTGATCTTGGATTAATCTGTTTAGTAAAGAAGCGCAAAATCCGTTTTTAAATGCCTTATGCCGTTCAACGACCACAGCCAGCCTGACTAATATTAATTTACTACTAGCCTTTCTTCGGGTTTTGACTACCGCGCTTAATTTGCCTACTACAGTAAATCTTACTTTTTATGTTGCATTTCTGACTGCTATAAACGTACAGGCGTACAAAGAGGAAATTACCGATTTTTAAACTTTACCTGTTTCCGTTTTGCTTGTTTGTTTTAGGCCGTTGGAAAGCACTGTCGCCAACTTCAGTCCATCGTTTTATCTCAGTGCGGAAGCTTGTCACCAAAAGGCATCACTTCTCTCGCTACCAAGTGCCGCCAGCTTAAGATGTTTGACGTTGCTATGACGAAGGTTAGAATGTAACAGTTTGGAATATTGTTACTCAGTGAACCGTCTTTTTTAGTTTTCCTTTTCGTCCACAGCAAGTACTATACAAAATACATCTCCGACATCTCCTTGCAATTCTTCGCTTCGAATTCTCCCGACGAAACTCGGCTTCCAACTCAACTCGAACAAGTTTACTTTTACTGTACAGTGGTTACATTCCTGCTAAGTGTCATAGCCATTTCACCAGTTTTCGCTTATTGACTGTCGAAATGTATTTGCTACGCTAGGCGATTGTAAGGCTCAAATAACTCCCGCCATTTTGCCTTTGAATCAAAAGTAAAACCAAAACTCACACGCTTTCCCGCGCTTCGGATCAGCTACATGTATTTGTTTTGAGTTTTGATTGGTTCGCTGGGTTTTCTGTGTCCTTTGTGATTGGCCAGAGTGATTACTTTGGTTTCGGTTTTACTTCACAGTCATTCAATCGAATTATATAAGCTTTAATTTCAAAGCATACTGAATTAATCCTCACATTACTTTTGTTTAAAGTTGTAACACATGTTAATTATTCTTTTATATTTAACACCGATTTCGTAGCTTTTCGCACCTTTCAACAATCATTCCGTTAGTAGTATTTGTATGTCTTTCCATCTACTACAGTAATAGCCCACGTATAAGAACTTGGGTTTTAAGAACCTGTTAGGCTAAAATTTTCATTTTAAGCCCCTTCCACATGAGAACCCAGTAAGGCTAAAATTTTAAGTTAGGTTCTTATCAGTGGGGTTGCTGTAAAAGTGTATAGGTATAAACTGCTGAATTAAGATCATCATCTATTTAAAAGTAACTTGACATAACTTTTTTTTTTTTGCATTCAAGCTTAAGTACCATGTTGTAAGTCTGTTGTGTTTGCCATTCTATGGTACAAATAAATGATTTATACTGTATTATGAGATGATATTTATAATGCATATAGTATATTCAGATGAAATTCATATGAAAATATGAAGAACCTATTTTAAGAACCTTGGTAGCCTGAATTTGCTTTAAGTACCATTTATATAAGAACCTATTTAGGCTAAATTGAAAAATTCAGGTTCTTATACGTGGGCTATTACTGTACTCCAGATATTTACACCGTACAGTGTAATGCTATGTTAAAATATTGACGATATTTCATGGCCTGCATGACCCACAGATTGACATCTCGTGTCTTCATCGCGTCACAAAGCGGCTCGGAAGCCAGCTTGAGGAACTCTGTTTGATGAATTGCAGTCGACTAGGTGGAGAACAAGTTCTTCCTATCATTCAGGTTTGTATTATTACTCACTAGGGGAGGCGTCCTGGTCTGGGGCACGGGTTGTTCAAAGCCCGATTAAGCTAACCCAGGATTAGCGAGAATTTCGATTTGACTCTTTCACCTTTTCGGTGCGGTTTTCTGTTTATATCGTTTGCCCTTCAGTTTTGAGTTTAAATAATTTCAAACTACACAAAAATAGGCTGTGAAACATGGTGAAAAACATTTTTATACAAGAAAAATTAATGATTTGGTTAACCTTTAATCCAGATTTAGCACCAACCGGCTTTCGAACAACCCGGCCCGGATGGTTAGCGCACTAGCCACCAGATCAAGTGGTCTGGGTTCGGCACTAGTTGGGGTCTTTGTGTTGTGCTCTTGGATAAAACACTTAGCTCTCAGTGCCTGTATTACCTCATTAGAACAAATGATAAATAAGTGCCTGTTTGGGCTTTAACTGGGATTGATTAACATCCCATCCAGCTCCCTTTTTTCACACTTTCAAACTCTGAGCTTGGCGGCTTCTTTTTTCTGACCCAATCTATTTTGCATGTTGTTTCTCCTGTAGGAGAATTGTCCAAACTTGACAGCTCTGGATCTAACTAGTACCAATATTAGGAAACTGAACGTGGAGAAGTTACAGGTAACCTTCAGTGCGAAGTTAATGTGTTAATTTAATCGTTCCATTTAGCGCGTGACCAAATTCCAGCTTGTCACTACCATTTCATGTCAAACTAAAGAAGTCAGGTAATGAGATTGAAGGATTTGATCATTTTTAGGAAGCATTCTAAGACTTTGTCAAATTAACAGTATAGCGCTCAATGCTCCGCAGAGGCGGAGAATACAAAGAAATTCAGCGAAGGGGGAGTACATAGGGAGTACATAGGGGCAAGATAGGTATTATCCCCAAGTATTTGCATCTTAACAGAATGCTTTGTGGCGTTTTTCGTAACGTGGAAATTTCAAGTTGTGTCTGTTCAGTTTTACGCTGTGGGCGAACTAAGGCAGAGAGGGCTTCTCTCCATAGTTTTGTTGTAGGATCTTGTAGCCCCTCTGCTGCACGGAGGACTCCTTTAGTAAAGCAAGAAAAAAATCTAAAAAGATCTAATGGGGAGGGGGGGGGGGGGGGGGGGGGTTCAGAGGTTCGATCGAACCTCCCAAATCGAACCCCTAAATTAAAACAGCTAACGTCTTAGAGCTTGTAAGGTTATCCTGATAAATGCATCCAATTCTAAATGGAATGAATACTACAACGTTTTCTGAATAAATACAAATTACTTGGCCTCAGAATACCAGAAAACCCATTTCCGAGGACCTCGATTTTAAAAAAATTCCGGAACAGGCTGCCCCCGGACCCCCTACAGGGAGCTACATTCAGCGGTTCGTATTTCGAACCCCNTCACCTTGTCTGTTATTTGACGCCCTTCCCTTATCATCATCCACTCTACAAACATTTAGTTCTTACTGTGTTTGACAACTGAATTTTATTTTGTTGCTCTTGTATGGCAGGCTGGTTGTCCGAAGCTTAAAGAACTCTTCGTCGCCAATCTACTGCTTCACTCGACTCCCATAAGCACTGAAGTGGTAAATAAAGCAATAATATTTAACAAACAAAGAAGCCTCGACTGTGGTCTGTTCTGTTGTAAAGCACGCAGGAAGCGGTGGAGCACGAAAGAAGTGTAGGGGGAAACACGAGACGTAGTCGAGTGTTTCTCCCTACTTCTTTAGTAACAACTGTAATGTCTTTTATCGAAGCATTCGCTAGGTTGAGGATTCGTTTATTTCGCTACATGATTAAGTTTACCTTTTTGTCGGAATCTAGCAAAACTTGTCAGTTTAGTACAGTTTTGACACTTCTGTTGTTCAGTTGTTAACAATGGCCTCCAGGTAGCTATGTTTACCGCACATGGCAAATGGCTCGTTTCCATTGCGTTTGTCTGAGTCACAGGAAACGTTTAATTTAGGTCAAATTTGTCAAACTTCCGATGCAACAAATTGAAATTGAGCTTACCGTGCATCTGTTCTCTGACAAAGCACGCTGTTTCAGCCAATCAGAGCGCGCACTATATGGAACTTTTATTATAATATCCATTAAATGTATTTTACAGTATAAAAAATTGGAATCAAAAATTCGTGGTTTGAATATTTTGCAGGAACAGAATGGTTTTCCACAACTGGAGACTCTTTGCTTGGCTTGTGGTTCCCTGGCTGGAGTCCCCAGAACTGATCGTTTTTTGTACAGGTTTGTGACAGTGTGAACTGTGACCGTGGAAATCTGAGGCATGGATGATTTTATTGGATAACTTGTAGCCTCTTTTCTAGTTTGAATATGATTGACATGGATGGTAAATGATCTCCTTTCATTCAAATCGTAGAATTTTAAGGACGTCAGTAAACCTTAAGAAGTTAGACGTCAGAGGACTTCAACGAATCAGTCCTGAAGGAATTCAGGTACATTTTGTAAATATATTTCAGTACGATATCAAAGATGAAAAGGTCTATTGTCAGAAAAGATGTTAACCGGGAGAGAATAGTTAAAATAACACTGACGAAACTGACATAATCAGTGTGGTTATTATTTTGTTTGGCAGAGGTTGCCGGCTACATCGCTTGAGGAGCTGTTTCTCTCAGACACTCGCGCCAATTTTGCCACGATGTCTGTTGTCATTGAACAGGTAATATTAACATCAATAAAAACAACAGTATCGCATGGTGAACTCAGGAAGACCTGGACTCGAAATCTAGGATAGGGAAAGAGGGAAATTCGCCATATTTTTTGTTACATGCTTTAAGGCATTTTGTCATTAATTGTACTGGTAGAATTAAGAAGGGGAAATTCCGGTACCTGTTTTGCACGCTGTGCAAAATGGTGTCGTCGAAGAAGACGCTCCCCGCGAAATAAGCATGCAGCGAAATATCACGTCACTGCAAAACAGTCAGCGTCCAAAACGCGGTATTGGGTTGTATAGCCAACAAACAGAAGAGTTAAGATCGTGCCGGAGACATTTCGTCCTTGATTAACATTCCGTTATCAGCGAATTAATTTTTTACATTAAGCTTGGTGAGTCAGCAAAGAAATTTGCGTCCACTGAAGTCGACTCTAAGCCAACACAAAAACAAACTAGATACCGAACGATTATGCTATAAGCACATAAAGGGAATGGCCTCGTTATCCGATACTAAATACAAATGAACCGTGTAATCTGTGTTTGTTGCACAAGCCTGACTTTGTGGTCACAGGGATGAAAGCGTGTACATCTCGAGCTCAGCTATAAGTCCAAAAGTTTCGGTGATTCTCCTCCACTATCACTCAAACTTTCACCCAATTTTTCAGCTGTTAGTGAATTTTGCCGATCTAAGATCTCAGGTATATCAATTCGAAAAACGCGTCATTGTTCATGATACAGTTAAATCTTAAATTAACCTATTCGTAGCAATCATTTAAACCTCATCTTTCCCTTTGTTCGGTCTGAAAAGATACATCACGTAGGCTATGAAATTATCCTGGTCTTCGCCTTTTGTTTAACAGGCGAAACGAGGCCTCATCCTAAACAGTGTACTGAGAAGCTGAAAAAGTCATGCTCGTGTTACATTCCTCAAAACAAATTAGTTCTAATCAGCACACTTGTCTCTCTTTTTCCGTCCAACGCAGTGGCACCACAGTTTGGAGATTTTAGACATCTCGTCCAATAGTGGGGTGGGCGACGAATCCATGGAGCTGTTGAGGGACTTCGGAATGCCGAAGCTGTATAGTTTGGATCTTGGAAGCACCAATGTTACAGCTGAAGGCGTAAGGTGAGAGTTTGATTACTTATGAAAGGTTTGGCAGGAAGGCTCGTTTTGAAACAGAGGCAAAAGTAACTCGGAAATTGCCTATTGTTACCAAAAGATGAAAACAATAGTGGTTCCAGCTCATTTCTACCGGCAAATGGCCCTTTTCCTCAGTTTTCGTACTCTCTGTCTCTTTAGGAAAGCTCTGAATGCATGCCCAAGACTCCAGCATTTGAATTTGACGTCTTGTCGTGGAGTCCCTCGAGGCTTAAAGCAGTGGCATGCCGGCGCCAAATTGAGAAATCTCATTGCTACGCTGGAGGAAATGGAGTCTGGAACGAGCAGGGAACAGCACGAAAGCGAGTAAAAATCACCATGCAGTTCGCTTGAGGAGTTTAACATTCCTGCAGCTCTGAGATCTAAACATGCAGGAAATCTATCGCTTCCATCAAACGCGATGATGGAAAATAGCGCGCACCTGAAGAAGTGGTTAAAAAGCAAGTATCCTGGTGGGGCTGACTTTGTCTACTTCTTTCACGTCACTTTTCACTCATTTTCCTAATCATTTTTATCTATCTGAATGTTTCTTCATTTCAGCCGCTATCGCTGCATATCTGTTCCCTAAGCTATTTAATCCGTGATACACTCTTCTTTACTTACTATACACCACATCTTAGCTTTCCTCACTTATTAAGTCCCCACCAGCCACACCCCGTGTTCGGCCGAGTATGTGCTCTCTTTACCACTTCTTATGAGCATGCTCATACATGATGCCCGGCGAGGAAGACGAGTTGCCAGTAACGCAGTCTTGAGAGAACTATTGTTTATGTGCATCCGCACCTTCATTTGGTTTTTGATTAAAGCCGGGATCCTCATTTTCGTCTTTTTTTCAGCAGTTCATTCACTTACTCAAGAGAATTATGTTAACGTGTCTTGCTCTTCATCTATTCAATAAACAGTTTATGTAAAAGCAGCTTAAAACATGTAACTGACAAGACAAAGTGTCTGTTAACTTAGCGGAAATCTGCTATATCTGTACCTTTGGTGTGTTCAGGGCATTAAAGGGAGCCAGTTATTGATTAACAAGGCTTGACGTTTCTCAATTACATTGCATTCACATCAGTGAGCCCTCGAGGTGTATAACTCTCTCTATTAAAACTAATATCTTATCTCGTGCTTAGGTGAGACGAAACATCGTCAATTGAGGTTTAACTTTTACTGAATTGTTTTCTGATCATTACGGGAGCTGATTTTTACCACAAAGGATCGTAAAAGTTAACGAGGCTATTTTGTATGAAATCAATTTTGAGCTTTAAAAGGCTTTGTGGGTGGGTTATAAATCTAAGTGGTTTAGGCCAAGCTTCT